GTGGGTTTGTGTCGTTGTTCGGGTACTTGTGACAAGAGCTTCGCCTCTCACTCCGAGCAGCCGTGCGTGCAGCCTCTCCCATCTTCGCCAAGTGCCAACAGCTCTATCCGTTCTTGTACGCATCTATAACAGCTACAATTGACAATATCGTTGGTCAGCCTGTCGAGCAGGCTAATATAATGTTTTTTCTTCCCTGGATTGGAAGAATGTTCACGTGTTTGATCAACAGCAATAATAAAGCCATTTCACTGATTATGAGTGATTTTTTGAGGAAAGCATTTCGGCCAGATCTCCACCAACTGGATTTCATTCATAGCGCTAATTTTAGCGCTGTTGCCAAATGAACGGTATCGTCAAAGCCATTTATACGTTGAACTTTCTAGTTGTCTTTATTCTTTGCAGAATTCCCTAAACTCGTTCAAGCTTGTATAGATCTAAATCCTCTTTGTAAGCTTTACAGCTTTATAACTTTGAACATAATTCACAGAAACCTCTTGAATTCACACTCGTAGATAACACCATTGTGTTTTTATTTGCTACACTTCAAAATCGGATGAAAATAGCCAACTGTAAAATTGCATTTAAATATCGTTCAACGTTTTTTTGAAAATCTATGGGGAGTTTTCTGCCAGTGAATTGGCATTTCCTCAGGCTATCTATAATGAACCTGGATTATGCTAACGAATATAAAGCTCTTCGTTTCCTACAATTTATCAGCCATTCATGGGTTAACTACAGGAGTTGGAGCGGCTAAGGCAAATGAGTCAAAAAAACAATAGTCGTTTTCATCATTTTAGAGGATAAAAGGATAAAGCTCACAGCGTCGATCAATCCCTGAGGTATGCGTCATGCATTCGACTTCATTAAGCATCGTTGGAGATGAGTGAATGCATATCTGGCCTTTACAAGGACTCGCTGTGGCCTACCGGTGTATCGAGCCAGTGCTGCTATCCTCCCAGACAAATCTGGTGCCAATTTGGCGAACCCGGAGTGATGGAAGGCTTGATGGGTCATGGGCGCCAGGATCGATTTCATGTGTGTTGCAGTGGCGCCTCTAACCACTGAGCCACTTGCGCCCTTCATCAGCACACTCTAGGAATTCTATCCAGATGATAGTAAACGAACTACAACTTAACAGATTTCTATAGTATGTCATGACCGCTTGCCACTGGTGTACAGTACAACCTCACCAACTATTAAACATTTTCAGGTGAAACTTAACACCTCTTTGAAATGCTTTTACATCTTGGATGCCTCCTATTACCTCAGGTGGATTTGCGCTGTGGCGACGAAGAAACACAAACATAAGATGAAATTTCGTTCGTATTGAAATTCCTTTAAGGGAAGCATATGCGATAAATATTCCACAGGAAACTACAGGAATTTGTTGACAGGCAAATCTTTTGAAAAAATCTGCTTGACAATGCTGTATTCTCTTTCGATCACAGCTGAAACGTTGTAGTGATTGGAAGCTGTTCGCCGTTCGTAACTGGAGAAGAACATAGTGTTGTGGACGTAAGCGCTGTAATGTTACGTAGCTGTAGTGTTTGCATAATCGGGCCGCCTGTCGAATGATGCACCCCAGCAACAATCCCAGTGTCTCGTTACCCGTAAATCGTCACCCACCAACCGCTACTCATATATTCTCATAAAACACGTAAAAAGGCGTTGTCACTTCTTCTATTCTTACCATAACTACTAGTATTTCAGCCTTACAGTCTTCTTTTGCTATTTGGTAGATATAGCTTAAATAACAAAAAAAAACCAGAGGGTTTAACAGTCATTGATTGTGTGTCAAAACGCGATTACAAGTCAAAGTAACTACTCAAACACCAATTCCTGTTTTCTATTTTTGGTCCAAGTATGTTCTATCGAATTTTCGGGGATAAATGACTTCAGCAGATTCTCACTTTCAAAGCATCCTTCGTTCTCAAACTGCTCTTGCGTTGCTTCTGCTCTAACCTAGGAAAGGTATGTCGCTGTTTTTTTATTTCAAAGAACGCCTAATATTCGGTTGCATTTCCTATTTAAGTCAGAAGTCGACAAGCTGATTCTGTGCTTTGACTTTCAATAGAAATCGCAACGAAGAGCGTAGCGAAGGTGGAGAGTTGTCGCACTTTGACAACGTGCTTGTTTGCCCTCACCTGTCGATCCTCCAAATCTCATCATCTGAAGGATCGATTGTTGTCTCGGACAATGTGGTTTTTGCTCTCACTTACTCCCTCTCTCAATTTCGCCACTTTCCTTGTCATTCTAGTTGTCTGTTCATCAACATAAACTCCACATTCACGCAAAACTGTCGACATGATTGCGAAGAATGCATTTAACACGAATGAAGCCCATTTGAAATAACGAAAGCCATAGGATTCTTTGCCAACCGGATGCAAGCTTTCTTATTTGAAATCCTATAGGTGTTGCTTTTTCGATGGCGCTGCCATGTCGAAAATCAAAATAGCTAAGCATGTGGGGTTTCGCGCAGTTGGACCGTATGGTGATCTCCATTGTAAATCTGGTCTCTCCTCCTGCTCTGCGTGCGTTGAAATTTCAGAAAATTTGGTAACCAGTTCTTCGGTAATTTTCATTTTAAATATATTTCAAATTACAAGAAATTTTTATTAAAAGTGCACATAGGTCAAGGTAATTGACCAAGACTCTTCTATTAATCTGCCTGTTCTATAAATCTAAGGTCTTTTCTGTAAATCTTCTATAGAGGATAAAAAGGGTAAAGCATAAAGCTCTTGGCGCTGATCAACCACTGATGGATGCGCCATGCATTCGATTTCGTTATGCATCGTTTGGAAGTGATTGAATGCATATCTGTCCTCTACAATGAATGAGTGGCGGTGGCCTACCGACGTATCGAGCCAGTGTTGCTATCTTGGTGAGCCATGGGCGCGTAGATCGATCTCATGTGTGTGTTACAGGGCGCCTCCGACCATTGCGCCACACGCGCCCCTAAATTCTTCTATGTATAAATGAATTCTCAACTCGTCAAACAAAGCACTCTAGTGTCGTCATTTGTAGAAAAAGTAGCGTTGGGAGTTACGTGTGAGATAACCATCCACGATCAGTGTAACTGTGCAAACCTTGCTTGACAATATTTGTAGCTTTTCTGCTATTCCATTGTTATTCTTGCAATTATTTGTGGCTGCGAATTTTTTCCACCACCTCAACTAATTTGTGAGAGAAAGTGACTAAGAGGATTCAATAAAAAATTCGTGTAGTTGTGGTGTTGACAGATGAGAGCACCGAGACTCACCGCATGTCCAAATCGGTCTACCACCCATTCCTCATTCGGTATGGATTGGCTCCATATACCGGCTAACTAAGCCTGTTAATCCTCTTCATTCAAGTGCTTTATTCCTTTTCTACTTCATTTTTTCCTTTTTTGGTTATGTTCTTGTCGTAGGTTCATGTTGGTTATGTTCATGTAGTTCTTTTCTTCATATAAACCGCTCTATATGGCATCTGTTCGTAGTTCTTGCTACTTTATGTAATTGAGGTACCCAAAATAATTAACCTAAGATGCTTTCATCAAACACTGCTTTCAAATTAATATTCTCGAAAAAACCATTGCATAGACAAATTATGCGAAACTTACCACTTGTCACCGGTCACATCGGCATATGGTACTGATTTGAAATGGGGAGAATTCTCACTGCACTTCGATCACGGATGACACGAAGCACGGAGTTTTCTCCTACTACTATGATTTACTTCTGAATATAATGTCTTCTTTGTCACTTGTTATTTCCACATCAAATACGGTGCTCCTTAAAAGAGAAAATGTTCAACTTCTAGGGATCCGGTTCAATCTCATGTTTTCTCCAGTTTTTAAGACGAGAGGGGTTAAATTTTCTAACAGTGTCAAGATATGAATATAAGTGGTGATTTACTGCGAATTTTCGTCTTTTTTTCATAAAATTACTATATCTCACGCATATTCAGTTAGACTATCTGATAGCTAAGTGCTTTTCTAGTCATGCACTATGCTCTCTAACTTTACTCCTTATTATCAACATTGTGTCTTGTTAACAAAAAGTTTGTGAACTACAACGACGCTGAGACATTCGCAAAACTTGAGCCGTGGACCAGGTCTCTTTTTTTCTTTTCCGATTTCTCGTGGGTATCCCTATCGTGGTTCGATCTGACCCGGAGTCCAAGTTTTGCGAATATCTCAACATCGTTTTGGTTGATTTCGTCTAATACGCTGCTGTGAAAATTGTAGTAGGCAGTAAACAAAAAAAGTAAACAGTTCATGAACTTCAATGATGCTGAGATATTTGTAAAACTCCGGACCGCAGTCGTATGCGGTGGGGAAAGAACGCGCTATTGTCCTTTCCGGGAAGTAACACGTTCACCACCACACCATGCGGGTCCTTCGTTCGACTGTCTCTCAGCTAGTTCTATCGATCTTTGCCACCTCAATCACCCGTCTCCTTCAATCCGGAAGGGATTGAAGTTTATGAACTGTTGCAAAATTGAACAAGTTCAGTTTAACCATATTCCTTTCTCAATCTCCTTGTCACTTGTGTTAGACGATTTCTTCTGTATAAATTGCACTAGATGATTTCCTATTCGATTTTTTTAAAACAGGCGCAAGTTTCTGTCTCTATTGCTACTTTTCTATAATAGTTAGCTGACAGTCTTCTAACCTCCTTTAGTATGTTATCTAGGATTCATGTCATAGAGCCACTTTTTTGTCAGTTTAGCCCTCACTGTGATCCGTCTATCATGTTCTCATGCTCTTTTGCCCTAAAATTCGAGATTAATATTCTTCACTGAGCTCCCATGGATTCGTTACCTACATATTTGCAATGCCTTCACTCAAGTGTTTCTCGAGTGAAAAATGAACTAACAGTCATAGCTTTCGTAAATTGATTTTGTTATTATTTCGAGATTTGCACGGCACTTTCAACACGCTTTATGAGTACTTCGCAAGGTTCTAGGAAAAAAACTTGAAAATCAGCGATCTATCCTAGTCTTCATTGCAGGGTTACATGGCTCGACTAGGAGCCAGCTGGCCCGTGGCCATCGTAGTGGCGGTGGCCGTGATCGACTCCGCTCAGTCCACGAACTGCTCGGCCGCTGACGCCACCAAGAACTGTGTCGACGGGCTCGTCGTGCCCATATGGTGAGCTCGTCGCCAATCTCTGTGCTCTGGTCCTCAAACCACGCAGGCGCTCGCGACTGGTTGCCAAATCGATCGACGTTGGCTTCAAAAAACAAATCTTGGAAGGGATTTGGAATTTTACACCGTTGTGAAAACGTGTAATGTTTTTTTGCTTGATAACAAACTGAAAATCAGTGTTATAAATACAAACAAGATCCACTTCATACTTCCTCGTAAATGGAGAATCAAAGATTTAACGCATGCATCGATTTCAATGCATTTGAAAACAACTTTAAACTTTAGGTAATGTAGGTTTTTTAGCTTTGTGCCAACATATCGTAAAACACTCCGAGCTCCATTTAATTCCAAACAGAATCATTAAAATCTATAGATAGTTGTCCACAGGAAATACAAATCGCCTTATTCTAGGCGAGTGAAATTATGACTTTTTGAAACCCAACGAACTTTTTCACTTTTTTTTTCATCGAAGCTCATATTTTGAACACGAAGGTGACCGAATGAGCAGGAGATTAGGCTATTCTCAACCCTTCTGTGGGACTCTTCTCTTGCATTGGAAGTTTCCATTTCGCTACCGTTTCTTTAAACTTGCTTAGAATCACAGTTGACTTCTTAGAAACTGTGATTCTAAGCAAATTTAAATTTGAGACAGTACTTCATAAGGGTTATTTATACACATTTGGCTTATATTTTATACAGAGCAAAGTCTCTTCTGTAAGTCGAAGAAGCTTTCGGCTTCTCAAATGCTCGGCTAAGGAAATTACCATAAGTTGTCAATAAATCAGCATCGGATGCTATCTGTTGAAAACGCGAAAAGAAAACAGCATGGAAATAATGAGTTAAATGTGGAACGAATTGTTCATACAGTCCACCATTAACCTCCTCGACCAATCCGGCGATGCTAGCCCCTTTAGGTAACAGAAAAGTTGACTAGTAGAGTCATTCCCAAGAAATAAAGTTGCAAGCGAAACCGAGATGTAGATTCTCATTTGAAAAGTTCTCGACATTGATCAATCCCTGAGGGATTCGCCATGCAGTCGACTTCGTTAAACATCGTTTGGAGGTGATTGAATGCATATCTGGCTTTTACAATGAGTCGTGATAACCTACCGATGAATCTAGCCAATGTTGATATCCTCCTAGACAAGTCTGGTACCAATTTACCGACCCCGGAGGGATGGAAGGCTTGGTGGGCCATGGGCGCTGGGATCGATTCCACGCATGTGTTGCAGGGCACCTCCGACCACTGAGTCACACGCGCCCTTTGAGTTTCACTCACCTTGCGTTTATAAAAATGGTATTTTGGAAAATTTAATGTACCAGCAACGAGCTCATGGGTATAGTTCCACACTACAAACATTCCAACAACGCAAATTTGCTGCCAACTTCTCCTGCTTACCTGGTGTTTGTTGTCCTAGCGAAATTTCCTTTAGTTCTAGCGTTCAGTTTACTGCGGAAGAATTTTCCAGTTTATTTGGCTGTCTTATGGCCAAACTATGGAATTTCATTATTCTCGTTATGTGTGTGTGTGTGCTTTCTTCTTCCCTCCCACTTACACTTTTTCGTTTCTCCCACGTGCAGCTTTTTCGTACTTGTTATTAGTCGATCGTATTTAATGCACGATACAGTGGATATCCGTCATTCCTCCGCAAACTGATGAAATCAACCATTTATCATTTCTTTTGTTTATCACGCAGCAAAAGAAAAAGCATCGAGCAGCCGGCTTCGACGATTTTTCATGCGTTCTGAGCTACGCCATTGTGGTCAGTGAACGACGTGCTTTTCAAAAAACTTCGACAAATTATGTGCGAAGACATACTGTCTGCAAAAGTTGAACTACAACGCTATGCCGTGAAAAATTGACGGCCAACGGATGAAAAGTTATACATTATCTCCAAGAGGTTCCACCTATAAATAAAAAAGAACAAAGCTCTCGGCGTTGGTCAATCCCTGAGGGATGGGCCATGCATTCGAATTCATTAAACTTCGTTTGGAGGTGACCGAATGCATATCTGGCCTTCACAATGACTTGTGGTGGCCTACCGATGTATCGAGCCAGTGCTACTATCCTTCCAAACTAGTGTGGTACCAATTCGCCGACCCCGGGGCTATGGAAGGCTTGGTGGGCGCGGGGATCGACCCCATGTGTGTGTTGCAAGACGCCTCTGACCACTGCGCCACACGCACCTATATGTTGTGCAAACATTTGAATAGCAGGAAATTTCAGCGTTTCTATGATTAACGACTTGACATATTCCATTGAGCATTTTGTAGTTTGGAGCCTTCTTGAAAAACTGCAAATGTTGATAATCTTACTATAGAGTTGGGATTAAGCTGGCAAATAAGGTTCGTTTTGCAATTACTTTCATTTCTTCTTGCTGACTAGCTCTGAGCAACTTCATACCCTCAAGGAACTTCCATTGCAGAGCGTCTTCGCAATATCGTCTTTACATTGTTAGAAAGCTGGTGGTCTGATTCTTTATTTTCTCGCTCGCTTAACTGATAAATAAATGATCATATGCGGTTTGAAAGCTTAGAACTTCATCACGGACCTACGCATTCGAAGGAAAATCACTTAAATAGTTTTTTTTGATTCTTTGTTTTTGTTTACCACAAGACAAAAATTTACGGACTTTTAAAGGTGCATTGTTGCATTGAATGTCATGATTTAGAATACATGGAGCTTCTGCTTATACTAGTATTCTTAGGAGAAATATGCACGCTTTGACTCAGTGGGAGTAATAACAACCAGTTTGATAGATGAATACATTATAATTGTTTCTATTCTGTGTACTTTCGTTGAGTTCTATTATGAGCGAGGGCTTGTCTAAACCGTGTTGTATTTGGCTGAGTCTTTTCCTTTTTTAGGCCGAAATTAAGATGATACATAAATCTGATGGTTCTCAGATTTGATCAATGTCGATCCGCCCCATTTTTCTTACACTGGATCATTCGGCTCAAGACATTTGTTCACTTCCTTGTATCCTGCTAGTTGCAACCGTCAAAAAATCGGTTAAAGCTTCAATGATAGGCAACTCATAGAATGCTATCGTTGTTTAGCACATCTTTGATGTGAAGTTGCCGGTTAGCTTCAGTATCACCCTGAACAACTTTTGTAACGAAACATCCAACCGTTTAGCCGAGGATGGACAATAGAGAAATGTAACCCTCACTTTGAGTGGGTGAGGCAAGTTTTTTTTAAAATAAGTAAACGTTTGAAAAGTAGAGGAAGCAATATTTTTCAAACGAGATGTCATTTCACCTCGGCATTAATAATCAATACCTTCTTGGAATATTAAGCTAATTATAATCACTACCTTCTTGGATTGCGAGGTTTTTATAAAACTTTTGTTCCACCCCATCCACTCACTTAGCTGAGGAATGGAAAATGAATAAGATGGTTATCGGCTCTGAGGAAGACGACGTATTAACGTTAGCCGAATAAAAGCTTATAACAACCTCGAGTAAGCTTAATAATCCAATCGGAAATTTCACAGTATTCGGACTGGTGGACAATTTTGCCACCGATGCGATGAGGAGAAAAGCTCGAAGGTTTTTTATACCTCGGGGAGCGAAAGATTAATAAATTTCTTCGGGCTAAACTATTGAAAAACGAGCACATTGATTTGCAAAACCTCATTTAGGCGTCCATTCATGGACCTGACTCCAGGCGACAAGATCCTACGAGGTCTCATTTACTTCGTCGTAATTGCCTATTGCTTTCTGGGAGTTTCTATCGTTGCCGATCGCTTCATGAGCAGTATTGAAGTCATCACAAGGTATGAATAGACCACGTTTCCTTCACAGTTTATCATAAACTGATGCTAAACATTTCAACAAAAGTCCGGTGGTACTAAAAGTTAGAACTCAATCACAGACAGCAAGTTTATGAGTGCGAAATGAAATTATGGCCTTCCTGATATTAAATTGCCCTGCCGGTTTATTAGGCCTGAGAGATGCATATGTTAGGCAGTTACTGGCAGAACTAAGTATCTGTTTTCTCAGTTAAAAGAAGCTTTGCTTGCAAAGTTTTTTGGATGATACATCCCGGGTCAATATCTAATTGACTTTATTAAAGTGTGGAGAAGAACTGTCACCATGTTGTTATTCGCCCTTCTAGTATCTCCACCCTCATTAGCTAATAAAAACGACTTGAATATCCAATCGAGCAACCTATGAGGGAAATCTTTCAGTATGGAGCGGAGGATCATCGTAAAGCGACCAGGTCTCGAACCAATGGAAGTAAATGTTCGGATATGGAATGATACCGTATCGAATTTAACACTGATGGCTCTTGGTGAGAATTCGTTGAAAACTTTACATCTGTACAGTGTAATCCAATTGCTTCCTAAGTCGATTGTCAATGTTTCTGTGCAACACAATGTGTTATTGTTTTGGAAAGTTCCTTTACAGGCTTTAGGAAATTTTTCATGGTTCGTCTGTGTGGAAGGACACGAGAGCTTTTTCTCTCTGAGCAAATTTAACAAACTTCCATTGATTGACTTGTTAGGGTAGTCTCAAGCTCTCCTCTCTATGCACTTAAATATATGATCCTTTCAGGTTCATCAGCTCCTGAAATTCTTCTTTCTATCATCGAGGCTAGTAATTGTTTGTTTTGCTTTTCTCCTATCAATAAAACTGGGCAGTTATGTTGAAAATACTGGAAATTTTGCAGTATACAACAAGATTTTTTTAAACCACTCAATACCAACGACTACCTCAGCGACCTAATCTTCTGATCTTGAATGAAATCTAAGATGCTAAACAAAATGGTGAAGTTCATAAAGAGGATTAAAAAGCGCGATAGAAGACTGACAGTTGGGAGTTATGGTATTTGGCAGAATCATTTTCACGGAGTATCATTTCTACATTTCTTTGCAGAAGAGGCAGACGTCGAAACATAGCCAAATAAAAATACGACAACGGCCTCGTTTAAGCTGAACATTCTAAAAAGCATATTATTTCTGCACTTTTCTTGTCATCTCTGTTCTATGAACTGATGATGACGCTCTTGATGATGAAGCTTGCAGGTAATTGCGAAAAAATTCGAGGCGGGTGATCTGGGTCCGAACACAATCGTCGGTTCTGCTGCTTTCAACCTCTTCATGATCATTGCACTTTGTGTGGCTGTCATTCCTCCTGGAGAAGTGCGCAGACAGAAACATCTCGACGTCTTCTTCGTCACCGCCTCATGGTTAGTACCTCTACTATTCTCGGGAACCTATACGTTTATCTTTCCCGAAATTAATTTCATTTTAGAAACATTACCCAATCTGTGATTTCCATCATTTTCGAAATTTCAATAGAAATTGTTTATTCGTTTTCATATTTAATCTATTCGCTTTTTTCATTTTGAGCAATTCATCTGCAAGGAAGGCTTGCCAATAAAATGAGGCATATTTTTTGTGCGATTTAGGTGATCGGAGTTAACATGCACACATTGCAACGTCGGAAGATAACGAGAGCTTACGGGGAAAAATGCTACGCGGCAATTCTTCTATGAGCTCTTTTCCCTACTTCGTTCATATTTTTTGACAACGAATGATAACTACATAACATAACAGCACTAATTTCAATTCTGGTACTAATATCCCACTGAGAAGGCCCAACATTTCATTCATTCTAGGGGTAATAGAAGGTAATCAGTGGTGAAACTATTTACGTTTTTGTAGAAGCGTGATGAAGCCGATTCCCTGGAAAGCGGAGCCGTTGCCTCCTTACGTCTATGAGAGCGCAGTTTTCGAGTAATCACATACATGAACTGCTTTGTGTTTATCTCGTAGCTGGAATCGTTTAGCAGTTTTGATGAGACGTTAAATGAAGGCTATGAAAGCTATTTACAGTAGAAAAAGGCTACTCAAAACGATCTCCATGAGTACAATCACAATAAAGGATGAAGTATTCGGCGCTTATCAAACGCTGAAAGATGTGCAATGTCGTTCACTCCATTAAGCACCTACGGAAGATAAGATGCATTTGTTCCGGCAATGAATGACTCTCACGGCTTTACTGAGGTGACAAATCACCATATTTTTTCCCACAGACATTTTTAGAATTTTATTTCTCGACCCGGATTGGACTAAGGCCCTGTTGTGTACTCCACGTTACCTCTAGCGATACCGCTATGCATACTTCGATACTTGGATACTACTGGACAGTCCGTCTTCACAAGTTGTGCGGACCCCAGCACATATGCCATTCGTTCCTTTCTCTCACAATCATAGTCCATGATTGTGATCTTGTTCGAGCATGGTTGCGCGTGCATGGTTCTTATAATCACAATTGAAACTCATAACTTATTCGTTCTCGAAGGTTTTATCAAAAAAGTGTAATCTTACGAAGCAAATATGTTTTTGCCGAATTTCTTATGAATACTAAAAATTTTTCACATCAATATCAATATGGTACAGGTGGTGGTATAGCACAGTGGTAGTGTTGTGATGCCGGTCATTACGAGCATGGTGCTAGTTCGATTCCGCTCCAGTCCAATCAGGCCTCTCATGCCTCTGAGGTCGGAACGTTGGCGAGAGACTTCTGGGAAAAGATCACTGTCTGCAATCCAATTGGTAACGCTCCAGTTGGACTATCTCTAGACTCCAGAGGGAATCGATTCGACCAGCATTGCGACATTCAAGATGAAAGGAAAATCCTCAAGCAGCAGCCGAAACGAAACGTAAACGTTGGAAGAACTTCGTGGATAATGAATGCGAGGAAACGAGTGGAACTGAGAAATGCTGGGATTCACAACACAAACGTGAAGACTGGTCATATAAAAAAATTATAGTACGGCTTTTCTGTCACTTCTGAATTTATTACTAATGTTGGTGCTTCTTACAAATAAACTCTAAAGGTAGCTCGAACACATCTGCACGACCACTGTCACCTAAGCAAATCAGTAATAAAAAGTTAATGGAGAATGTTCCAATGCAAATTTGTTGGAGAATTTTCTGAAGTTATGCTGTAAAACCGATAAAAATTACTTCTGTCGATGAAAAAACGTTGGTAATTCAGTTTACTAGCTTCGGTTACTGGATTAAGTTGGGTCCGATTTAATTTATTAGAAATTTAGGTCAATTTTTGCCTACATTTGGATGTACGTGATACTTGCTGTCACATCACCGGGAGAGATCGAAATCTGGGAAGGCCTTCTTACATTCGCCTTTTTCCCTCTCACGGTGGTCACCGCCTGGATTGCGGACATTAAGATCATTCAGGTTACAACCATTTAAAAAGCATGTTGGCAATCGGACTGTTTATCATTTTTTTACTAGTCTCGGCTTTTTTTCGGATTCGTTCTTTTGAAATCAACTATTCGATAGCAAATACTCTTCAACTAATCATTTTCTATTATTTTGTCTTTTACTTAGGTAACGAATTCAGACACGTTTCCTTCCCCGTCGCTATCGTCGTAGTTCGCATGGCGTGATCGCAACTGAAGGAGAGGAAATGAAGATGCTTGAAAGCAATGGAATCACTCAGGCTTATAAGGATTTCACTCAGGTACGCTGTCACTGTAGAGCAATTCTTCTTTACTATCTTATAAGTAAGCTTTTTCTTGCGTGACTCCTCGAACGGGTGAAATTTTTAAATTTAAAGGTTTGGGTCGTATTGCGAGGGAAATTCAATATCCTTTGTTTATTTTTGAGAAAAAAAGGTAGACTGATTCGTTCAAGTGTATGTCGAAATCCATGTTTCAGCCGGATTTTGTTGATCCCGCAGTGCGTGCCTTCGAAGAGCATCGAAGAGAATTCATAGAGCTTATGAGGGAAATTAGGAAAAGGAATCCTCATATCTCTCCTTCTGATCTCCAAAAGCAGGCCGAATACGAAATGATCGCGAGGTTCGTCAGTGATTCCACACTACGTATTCTCTAGAATCCGCTAATGTGTTACACTCAGTTTTCAAAGTGAGGCAAAAGTGTGAGTAATAAGTGAGGACATGCCAAGGAATAAAAAACATTGTCGGCAGTGGCAGACAAATTGAAGAAGCAAAAAATCCCTAGGAAGAAAAAAAACTAGTGGATGATAGATATGACTACGACGATTTTTGTCTACTTGCCGTAGATTCCTTCAATTCTTCAGAGGTCCTAAATCTCGAGCGTTTTATCGAGTGCAGGCCACGAGGCGTCTAGTCGGCGGTGGTGACATTGTGAAGAAGAGAATCGATAAAGAACACAATAAAGCCATCGATATGGTGAGGATTTACAAATATCCTACTGCATGAACTTCTTACTGTCGTAATTTTTATTGCTCACATCCTTTTTGAAACGTGGTTGGAACGGCGTTGTTTTAAGTCGTTCAAAAGCAGTTCATCACTTCCACTTTTAATCGAGAACTCGTCGTGCCTTTGAGAACCTACAGCACTCCAGCCATTCTGTCGCTTTTCCAAAGGCGTAGAAATTTACAAACTTTGAACACCACATACCAAATGCTCATGAACTATGTAATCTAACTAGCACTTGTAAAATCTACTTCATGACTTGAATCGAGAAAGAGGAAATAGTCCATTTCTTTCTTTTTTCTTTGCTTATCATATCGATTATGTAATGGGTAGAAAAAAGAAACGCTCAGGAAGTCGTAACCCCACGACCTAAGGGCTTTAAGCTTAAAGGTGCTGATAGCGTTGTGAATGATTCTGCGTTTGCCCTCTTTTGTTTGTATAAATACTCTGACGGTGATTCTGACAATGGTCCAGTAATCTTGTGTGCTGTAACACGATTGTCGAATTCAGCGAGCTGCCACAACATGTATGATTCAACTCGGCGCGTATAGCAGCCTAATGGTTAGAGGTGCCCTGCAATGCACCTGTTGGTTAATTCTGCCACCCCTAGCTCACTGAACCTTCCACCATCCCGGCGTCGACAAATTGGTCCCGTCGGAAGTTAGTGCACAGACGAGATATACATTCAGCCACCTATAACGATGCTTAGGTCGAATACATGCTAAAACTGCCAGGGATTGATAAACATTAAAATGTTTCATAGTTTGTCCTTTATGCAAATAAAATTGCTCTATCTATGAAATGTTATCGGAACTAATACAGTCATTTCTCTGTTGATGCTTTACAATAACTTTCAGTGTGATCTGCTACTAACCCAATCCACCATCCATAGTCTAATCTGTTTCAGTTAGTACAGGCGCAAGAAAAACAGATAAGGGAGAACACTTGCAAAATATTCTTCGATCCAGCTCACTATACCGTTCTAGAAAACATCGGAAGTTTCGACGTAGTGGTTGGACGGTGAGCTCTTCCAAAATTGAATAGTTAGGAGGAATTCCATGCTTTTTTCATAAAACGCTGTTCACTCCTCGTATGAATTGAGGGTGAATAAACTGAAGTACAGGTAAACAGGGTAAGAGTAAACAGAAGCATTGATCATGTTCTGTTTTGGGGAGATTATATGTTATTTTAAGGATACAGCATAAGTTGTCGGTAAGACTTTATTCCTTGCCCACTAAATATATAGTCTGTTCAAAACCAAGCAATAAGTGTAACCACTTGCAAATTTATTTAACAGGAGTGTTCGCTTTTTCTGTCCAAGGAATTAGGGTAAATTAATGGAACAAAATAAAATCACTGTCAATTTATTGTGTTCAATGCCGGTTTGTGCTCCCCAGATCAATCTCGTTGACGGGTGATTGCTGATAGCACCGATAGGTCAATACCACGGCTGAGAGGAAGGTGAAACGAGGAATGTTGCGCTGGTGAACGCGTTGTCTCCCGGAAAGGGTAATAGCGTGTTAGGTCTTCACCGTCTGCAGTTTTGCAATTATTTCCGCATTATTATGGTTATGTCGTCAACTTATTTAACCATTAGTTTTACAGTAAAAGAATTTCACTGGTATTTCACCTCAAGTCTTTTAGAGATGGAGGTCCACCTGGTCTTACGGTAATGGTGGACTATTACACTGAGGATGGCACTGCAAATGCTGGATCGGACTACATCCCTGTTAAAGGCACTCTCACATTCTATCCAGATGACAAACATCAGGTATGATGAATACTTTTCTGAACTTCTACAGTGAAAACTATTATATGAGAAAATATTACTAGCTGCGGTGGAGAACGAACGCGCTATTACCCTTTCTGGGGCTAACGCGATAACCAACACACCATGCGGGTCCTTCGTTTCGCTTGTCTCTATGTAGATCCTCTTGTCCTTCAACAAAAAAAACCAAGTTAAACAATCTAAACTGTTTTTATGAGGTTACCTATAAAACGCGATTGCTTAGATAAGGATCATTTAGATACTGAATGATCCGCCAAGTATTTGCACGGATCACTCCCATGTAATAAATCTGTTGCTCTCTTTTTTACAGCAATATGATAATAACAGTATTTTGTATTTTAATACAGTGCAGTAATAATAGTAATACATGATAGCAATATAATATGAACAATAAATAATAATGATAATAGTAATATAATGTAATGCGGTTCGGAGCTTTCAAATATTTTAGCATCTAACATCTATATATTTAAAGAAAAGTAAGATAAGGTATCCATCTATTTAAAATTCATAGCCGACTTCCATCAACGTAGAATTATCTTTTCACGCGTTCTTCGTGTGGAACGTAGAATCTTTATTACTACACTACACACTACACTGGACGCTGATGTAAAATAGCGATCAACGATAATACTTCGAAATTTTTTTCCAGGAAATCACCATCGAAATTGTGGACGATGATGTATTTGAAGAAGACGAACACTTTTACCTCCACCTGCGCAACCTTCGCGTTCGTACAAAGGACGGCCTCATTTTAGACCCTTCCCGTATTGGAGGGTTGCCGGTGGCGCAGTTGGAAATGCCGGCTACTGCCACCATAATGATTTTAGGTCATCACATATTTTATACTAACCGGCTTATTTTTTTCTATGGTTCTACTCGTTTATTGCTTACACTCTCAGCTGAGAACGTTTGGTTTTGAATTATTGAAGAAAATCAAGAAAGTATGATAGCACAAGTTATCATATCAAGCAAAAAAGACGAAATCCCGATTTTTTTTAAACCCCCTTCTATTCGCTTTTCATACTTCGCCGTTTTCCACTCAGATGACGATCATGCTGGCGTGTTTTCTTTCGAGTATGATCATTTCGAAGTCATTGAAAGTTGTGGACATCTTTCTTTAAGAGTTCTCCGACATTCTGGAGCGCGAGGAAAAGTCATCATTCCGTTCAAGTATGACTTTTATTCAGTCTGCATGCTTATACACATTTTTAATTAATCCTTCTTTCTTAAAAGTCCAAGATAATATTCTGCAGAACTGTTGATGGATCGGCTATTGGGGGAAAGCACTACGAAACTAAAGAAGGAGAATTGGTTTTCGACGACAACCAAACTGAGTGAGCGTTTTATTTTTACGACTTAATTAAAACGAAAAGCAGAAAGTAATGTCATGGGACTGTAATCTCAAAATGAATTTCCATCATATTTGTTTGAACGACTTAAAATTCTGGTGAGCCTCTTTTTCGGGTGTACCTGCTTAACATAGATTCTTTGATGAATGAAGTACAACTCGAAGTTAAAAGGATAAAGGAGTCGATCAGTCCTTGATGGGTGCGCCATGCATTCGACTTCACCAAACATCGCTATCGATGACTGAATGGAAATCTGGTCTATACAATGACTTTTCATCGTTTACCGATGTATCGAGCCAATACTACTTTCCTCCCAAACATGTCTGGTACCAATTTGCCTACCCCAAGGGGTTGGAGGGCTTGGTGAGCCTAGGGCGCGGGTTCGCATCCATGTATATTGGGGTGCACCTCTAACCACTGCCCTATAGGGGTAACTGGAAATTCTTTTCTAGAGAAGCCACTTCTGAAGCTGCTAGCGCTGCAAATTAACGTGCTCAATAAGTAACGACATCATCGAACTTTCGAACAAGGTAACAAGAGCATAGTGTGAAATTCGCACTGCTCAAACTTTGAGGATGGCTGGGAAGAATTGAGGGTGTTAGTTTTTGTCTCCATTTTGTACTGGAGTACTCTGCACAATACGGGACGCATGTACTTATGGTCTGCTTTTGCTCTATCACCACGTCCTTTCGTCCTCTCTCGACAAGACTGAAGAGGTCTCTCAAGTGTCTGGCAATACTAGCTAACAAAGGCTAACAAAGCAGACGTCAAGTGATATTACTCGTTCATTTTCTCCAAACGGAGCAGAGATTGGTTGAAAGCTAATAACACGGTTGTCGTCGGTGAACATGCTCTGGTTCATGGGCAGAATTTTTACGTTTATTTTTACAGAGAACGTACCTATACAATATAAATAAACAAAGTAAATGCCCAACATGCATTGAACATGGACCTTGAAGACATTTCACGGAAGAAGGGAAGCATAAATAGGCTAGTAGTGCACTATTCACAATTAGCCACCTACTAGCAACGAAAAAAGACAACATCAAATAGTAACAACAAGGTAATAATGCCAAATTTATAGGTGTTCATCAAGAAAACACTGAGTTACTTTCCACGATTAAACATTTCGTAGCGTCCCAACGGCTTACCGCCTCATCGTGGTTGGGAGGTGTCCCTGGGTGTCGGAATGCAATGGACAGCGGGCGGATTCATAACCCAGCTGAAGGTCCCATGCTGAGAACGAGCTCAACTTTTCCGTCAGTAAGTCAAGCTAAAAGTAAACCAATGCCAACACCAGAGTTCACCACCGTTTTGGTATCAAAGCAGTCGCATGGCTGCAAATTTTCCTTTGGTCTACAACGAAGGCGCCTGCCTGTGGTGGTGACAGCCTAGGGCAGACTTTGACCAGGCTGACCTTAGGGCTCCAGAGAAACACTTTAGCTAAACCAGCAAAACTCCAAAAAATGGGGACTGTGCTGGAGCCTGCACAACCAGTGAGGACGGGCCATCTAGGTATCCACCTAAGCAATATTTAGTAGAGCAATTCCATACTAATTTTGTTCGACGCAGTTGCATTATCTGACCGCTTCGAAGGCAACGTCGGCGGACCATAGCTAAGCTGTGCTTATCAATTCTGCAGAACATTGCTGGAGTATAATTAAAATTTCATTAGTTTCAGTTTTTCTAGTCGAGAGCATCAAATTTCCCTTTCGAAATCCATGACTGCTATGAGAATTGCGAATTGAATGAAAGAATTGAATTCCTAGCTTAATCGTGAACAAAGAACAATAACACCTCGCGTTTGCTCAAAAAATACGAACAAAATCACTGTTATGAGAGTTGAACACCTTTTTTTTTTACACAAGCATGATGAATCTTTTATCAATTTCATATTAGGATTCCGACTTTCTTTAGGTTTTTTCTAACTTTGAAAGTTTTTGTTTATTTTTTAGTATGTTTTGCTGAAGAGTAATCGGTTGAATTGGTTTCGTTTCAGAGCTTTCATCGAACTTGGAGTGATGGACACTGAGCAATATGAACGATCCGACTTCTTCTTCATTGAACTTGGCCCTCCCATTTGGGCTAAGAAGATGAGTGGTACGCGAAAAGAGCTCATATCATAATTTATTGAACGTTACGAAGAAAATTTGAATCTCTACGTATTTCTATTAACAAGCATAGAAGAAGATTTCATCTCCACATAGCCACCACTCGGGCATTTCTTCTTTCCGGTTGAAAGTTGTCTCTTTACGCTTTTTGTTAGCTTCTAGAAAGAGCATTCAACATGTCAACGAATTTGTGTCGTGATTGTGTTTGTGGAAAAACCTGCACCAATGTCACATCTTTCTTTAGAAGCATCGCCTTCAGAAGCATGTTACGCTAGGAATGAAGCCGAAATCAAGAGAAAAAAAGTGGCATCTTGAAAGGAATTCAACCGTCTATGCTTTAGTTGTTTATCCGCCTATAAGTACAAAGCAAATGTTCAACTTTGAATATTTTGGCTTCATTCACCTAAGCGTTGAAGAAAACAGGTTCCAGAAGCCGATGGTTATGCTACTTGCGTTGATCAGAACCTAAATCCGCGGAAAAAATCGAGTTCGCACTGAATTATTTTATTTCAAAGAAATAAAGCTCTGATATGTCACCTGTTTAATGAGCATTTGATTAGCGAATTTCAGTCGTAGGACATGTGGAATCCCAGAATGCCATTTCTTACCAAGATGTCTTCGTAAAGAATGTCATTCGTGCTTTGTCACGAAAATGAGGCGTTTCTAATCAGCTTAGTATTCGAAAAATGAAGAGACAATTGGGTGCTTTGAGCAAAGAAGAGATGCGTAGTGACTTTCTATCTAAACCGTTGAATGTCTCTCTAGCTTAACGTGTCGTGATTGTGCAGATCTGAGCAAAGTGCAGGAGCGATTCCAGCGCCGATTGGAGCAGAAGCGCAGATCATCCATCGCTTTGGACCTCAAAGAAAGCAGTGAGCGAGGTTTATCTCATCTCACATTTCAACCCCTTTTGTCAACACGTTTCCATCGAATTAAATTTGCTTTGCTCTCATTTTAGAATCCTTTGTTACCTCTCTCTTAAGACCACAAACGACTCACTCCTTTACGAGATCCTTGCATGTTTCAAACCACCTTTTTTAAAACTTTGTAAGACCTCTATTTTAATGAAGGTACAAAAATAAACACTTCTTTAGTAATCCGATAGAAACTCACAGGCACTCCTATCCCTGCACATTCGACGACACGAACACCATTCTCCGACTTTCTCGCATTGGATCCAAGCAATAGGGCTGTATCGGCCTCGCCAACTCTTAGCAATCGTTTCAAAACGCGAATGGGATCGTGGATCGCCGGCATGAAAGGTTCTTAATGTCAGCGAATTCGTGCATGATTCTTCTCATGCTATTGCTTGTTAATTGCATGATACAACACACGTGCACTTTCTGCAGTGTTATATGCCTTCCTGGACACTATCGTTGACTCTCCGTACAAAACATATGCATCGACTATTTTAATGAGTAGACCACTAAGTGTATTGATGACGTTAACCGCTGATCTCATAGATATGCTTAAACTTTAGGCCACAGATGACCTGGTAAGCCATGAAATAGTTGACTGAGTTATTCTAGTTGCAGTTAGTGTCTATGTTTATAGTGCGTCTTGCTTATGACGAAACGAATAACAACTTTTGTAAGAGACGAGAAAAGCTTTTTAAGAAAATGTTTTTGGTGAATAGCAACGTCCTCATATATTCCGTTACGTTGTTGTTTTTTCACTGACTCTTGATTCCGCAACTATAGGCTTTTCGGTGTTTGCGACCTACTGTGAAGGTAGCGCATAAAACTAAAATTCAAGTGAGCTTTAGCTTTGGTTTCGTTTAGCACGCTTTTGGATTTCGTTGTTTCGCCAGACAATGTGCATATCGAGAGTCAGTGAATTGAACACATTCATGCCCTATTAGTAAAGTCAAACTAAACAATGCCAAACGGATACCACAAGTATTTCTTAACATATATGTTCTCCAGAGTGCTATAAAAATTGAAAAATGGTACTGTTGGGAAATACGATTTTGTGGAGGGCCCATTACAACGATGTTGTAGGGACCGACGACGGTCAAGTAACCAATTTAACAGCCGACCAGCTGGAAGTCGCCGAGTTAGGAAAACCACGGCTCGGCGACTTCACGAGGTGCCAGATAACTATCAAGGAAAGCAAGGAATTCCAAGTGTGTTTTTAAGCGTATGCACATGTTTTATTCTGACCTATGAGGCTTCAAAGCAACTCACAAACAAATAGCCAAGCTCCACAATTGGAACGGTCTAAATAATGAAAAGGGCTAAAATTCTTCGAGCCTTCAAGCTGCCTTGGTTTTGATGCAAACTCTTTTTGTTTTAATCGAAAAGGCAGTCGACGTTGGTGCTTGCGGTCCTGAAACATCATTATATTCCACGTTTAGGTACTCAGTAGTGTATAAGTGTGAAATATGTACATATGCAGGTGTTTTCTATCCATGTTATCTGCGCTTTATATTATTTCTGTCAACAAATTACCCTGATGTGTGGGGGATCCATCGGATGTGCATATGTTTATGTGGCCTTAATAGGCATTATTTGAAGCATTGATACGGAGCACCATTTCTTGTAATTCTGAAAAATTAGCGACATTAATCAAAGCAGAATTTGCATAGACGCAGAATCTTGATAAGCACTTGTCTATTTTTTCGTCTAGTAGCTTTATGAAAAGGTTCGATGTGTTGCGTGTGTGCACTTGACGTCCCGTGTGACATAGCCGCTAAGTGTTCTTGTTCACGGGTTGTGATTAAGACGAATGACGTATACAGCCCACTTGACTTTCTTTGTTCGCGTTGTGGCCAAATCTTCGATCTCTGATCTTGCACGTAAGTTAATGCTTCGCCAGCTCCTCCTGAATTTGGTGATGAGGGATGTTCTTAACGTCATCGTTCAATACGATGTTCGATAGCGATGACTAATCCATGTTAGGTTCCAGGTTTTTAAGGGTATGCGTCAAAGTAGGAATAAGCGCAAGGTAGGCAAGAAGCCGGATATTCTTTGTCTTCTTCATTAAATTATTCATGTTTTCACGAACCAGCCATGTTATCCGTTTATACCGGTGGGACTTAGAGCCGAGCTTTTCATGTTCGCCTCGATGTTACGGCCTCGAAGACCATCACCGTAAGAAGAAAGAGCTGCCGTGGACACTTGATCCGGATCATCGTGGCGCTTATGATAGAATTTGCAGGAACGAATTATCTATCCTCTCTGGGATAAAATTAGACCAGATTAACGTCGCTGTTTACGACATGGGATGTTGTGGATGATCTATTGTACTGTAATGGAGCGCTTGGTTTCTTTAACTGATGTTTCTTACAGCGGTGCGTCAACGATTAGGCGGTTGCTAAATATTGTCTAAGCCTTAAAGGAATGCAAATCTCTCTTATTTCTTGCTGTTGATCGCTAACCTAGCTTTCAAATTTTGGTTAAGATCGGAAAGGAACGTTGCAAAAGAACTAACAAGAGTTAGAAAAGAAAAGTTATCTCACTTGGTTTTACATCCTTACTGAACGTTCAACTGCCTCTTAGAAAGTATCGATATGAGGGGTCAAAGCGCTGTTTCAACTGAATGCAGCTGTGTCGAAATGGAGATGAAAAACGGACGCCTTAATTAGAGTGTTGAAATATTTTTTTTCGAAATATTGACTATTTTTGTTATGGTATATTTGGGTAGTTTTCCACTCTGAAAAGACTTTGTTCATGAAAATTCCCTAGGTTCACCTGTATCATCTGTAATCCCATTGATCGTCAAGTGACTCGAGCGTACGCCAGTAAATCTTCTATTTTTCCCTGTCGCGTGCAAGAGTAGCCCAGTGGATTCTGCTCGCTCTAGGGAGTCGTTGAGCATCATATCTTGCTTCTAAGCTCTTCGTGAAGAACTCTGATCATCGGGTCGGTGGTCTTTCTGCAGTACGTTTGCCATCCCGAGGAATCCAGTCACTAACGCCTCTTGTCCATCAGTTGTCGTTCATACGCATTAGGTGTTCTACCTACGTTATCTTCCATTTTTGATCGTTGGCGTAGGTCGGAGCTTCGGATCCCTTCCCTTAATTATGTGACACGGGATACTCCTAGCGTCGTCCTTTCGACTACGCGTTCATTAACGCTTCCTTAGGTTATGCTTGAAAAACATGCGACCATATGGGTTATATATGATTCTTACTGTGCTAAATAGGATCACCTTCCACATTAAAATGAGGAAATTTCTTCTCGCAGTGATGTTTGTTTACTGAACCAGAAACCAGGAGAAAGTCCAATTCCTTGCCAACCAAAAACAAGTTCCATTATTCTACCAAGACGAAATTTTCAAATCCTGAAGCATACCAAAAGGCTTTTATCCCTTTTCGTTGTCTTCTATTTCTTGAGTCCACAAAGCATTTTTCGCCTTTGTTTTATTGAGAGGCGTAAAATTTAGGGCATTGTTGACCGGATGATCAGAAACGCCAACACGAAGTTGATGCTGGGGACGTCGTCATGGAGGGAGCAGTTCATCGACGCCCTCACAGTGAATGCCGGTGTGTCCCGCCATTGGATGCCACGACTATCAAAGGCCCAAATGCAGAAGTTCATCGCTGACTTTGTCTCAAATTTTCTTTAGACCACGGCGACGATGACGACGATGAGGATGGAGAGGAAGGCATGGAAATAAAAGAGAGAATGCCACCGAGCTGTCTCGACTATTTCATGCATTTCTTGACGATGCCGTGGAAACTGATTTTTGCCACTATTCCCCCTACTGGTCAGTGGTGTCCAATCATCTCAGTAATTGAAATAATTATTCCTTATTTATTGGCTAGAGCACCTTAATAAACTTATAGAACATCTCCTCTGATCTGTAATGGAAAATGTGCACAGGAATATCGGTACCTTCTTTTTGATAACATTCGTCTATTGAAAATGAAATTGTTCAATTTCAAAGAAATTACCTCATCTCATTTGTTTTGCTTCTAAGTGAGATTTATCAGGAAAGTTTTTCTAAAGTGGTTAATCAACATGTTCTTGTGCATTATAGACTATTGGGATGGATGGGCCTGTTTTATGGTGTCGATTTTCATGATTGGTGTTCTGACAGCCTTAGTGGGCGATCTCGCTTCACAGTTTGGTTGCTGGGTTGGTTTGAAGGATTCCATTACTGCTATATCATTCGTCGCTCTCGGAACTTCAGTACCAGGTGTGTAAAGTGCTTGTTTTAATTTTCCTCTAACGTCTTTAATTTTTTTTCATGATTTCCGGGCAATGATACAAGATATAAATGGTACACGTGCATGACATTAATACATATATATATATATATACTTGTTACTTGATACGTGAATGGTCCGCCCTCACAGGTTGTGCGGCTCTCAGTAAGCTGAGAAGTCCGTCGTTTCCATCACGAAGCCCAGCTAGGAGTAAGGAAATACCAGGATCCACCACTGTCCTGCTATCAAAGTCGCATGGTGGCAAATCTCTCTCTGTTCCACAAGGACGGCGACTACCCATAGTGGTGAAGACCTGGGGCAGACTTTGACCAGGCCGAACTCAGGCGGCACTCCGAGGAACCACAATGGCTAAACCAGCAAAACTTCGAAAAATGGAGACTGTGCTGGAGCCCGCGCAACCAGTGAGGACGGGCCGTCAAAGTATTCCAGTATATATATATATATATATATATATATGCATACATTAAATACACACATATACATGCATAATTATGTATATATACACATACATATGTACTCAAGTTGAAACGTATATATCTTAGCTTGTAATATTTTGGAATATTTGATTTGGAATAAATAGAACCGGAACTATAGAAACCTGCGAACCAGATATAAGTTTTTTGTTCCACCAAGATGAAGTTCTGATATTTCAAGTTAGCAGAACCTAATCATTTCAATTTTTTGTCTTCGTTGTAACTCGTATTCCAAAATCCATAGTACTGAGCAAGCGAAGTTTTGCTCAGAAGTATTTCATTTCAGAAATACTCAGTAAAGATGTATTTTCTAATGAATCAGTTGGGTTTCTCTTCATTTACGTTGAGAATGTTAAAGACCTCAAATTCAGTATAAATTGAAGGATGTATTAAGGTAAAGTGAAGTCAAAAGTGAATCAGAGCGGAAGCAAAATAAAGAAGAAGTGAGCACAGTGGTAGTGATCCCTTTCATAACGTAGACGATCCAACATACGCGAGCTTTGGTTCGTCCCCGCCTCACGTCCATCTCCTCATCTTTTCGGCGTCGGGAAACTGGTACTGAACTTATCTGGAGCAACTTCACTCCCATGTTCCATGTGGGGACGACCTGGAACGCATCTTAGGATTCCAGGTAGAATTAATTGAAAAGGTATACGGCGACATTCCTGTCAAAGACGAAAAAAAAAATCCACAGCAGCAGCCAAAGTCAGTCGCAAAAAAAATTCGGAGGTCTTTATGGATAGTGGATGCCAAGAAACGGATCGAATGCAACATGCGTACAATGTGGTATATGTGATATAGGGTCATAAAAAGCAAATGGTAAAGCTTTCGGACATGATCAATACCTCAAGGGTGCACCATGCATTTGACTTCAGTAAGCATCGTTAGAAGTGACTGCAGGCTTCTCTGGTTTATACAACAACTTGTGGTGCGCTCTCGTTTTGCAAAGTTAGTGCTGCTATCATCCAAGACAAATCTGGTATCAATTTGCCGATCTCAGACGGATGGGTGGTTTGGTGAGCTCTTGGCGCGTGATCGAGGCAGAGACCATGTGCGTGGAAGGACATCTGTAACCACTGCGTCACACGTGATTGAGTCCGGTCATGTGATAGAAAATAAATAATAAAAGTAAAGTGTTTTCTATTGATTTGATGGAACTTTTCAACACCTCAACAACTCTTGTGATTGAGAAGTTAACCAGCAGTCATCGAAAAGCCAGCATTGTCGCGAATGTGCTTACTCATGCCGCCTGGTATGGATGCTATAATGTCCGTGCGTCCTTTGTCCATTGGACAATGTGGACACTATGGTGGGCATTTTCAGTTTGATGTGTTCCGGATTTTTTTACAGCACAATCACTATGGTCATTCCATAGAATGGGTGAATATAAAAAACACCGAAGTAGATTCAATGGCAGGACATAATACTTCCAAATGCTCACAGCAGTGATTTGTATAATGAACTATAGCAACACTATTTTAACTGATTATTTACTGCTTACTCTTTTTAATGGCATGGTCCATTGCGAAATATAACTTCAATGATGCTGAGACATTTGGAAAACTCCAGACCGTAGGTGTCTGCTATGGGGAGCGAACACGCTATTGTCCTTTTCGGGGAGGACTAGTTGAGAGAAAGGCGAGCCGAAGGCCCCGCATGGTGTGGTGGTGAACTCGTTACTTCCCGGAAAGGACAATAGCGTGTTCGTTCCCCGCGCAGGCACCTGAGGTGCGTAGTTTTGTAAATATCTCAGCATCATTGAAGTTATAGCGACACTCAGTAAATAGAAGTTTGCACATCATTCACACTCATAGAACGGTAGAACAAGATTTCTTCTAAACTCTATCATGTTCACAAGTTCTAAGGTGCTCTGGTTATTCAAAAATTGCTTTTTATCAGAATAGCCAGAAAATATGCTGCCGATAATGTTAGTAACATGTTGTGCGCGCCAAAGATGCAGAAATCTTCTGACAACACTGAATAACTCTCTCGGATAACATAGAACCCATAGAGCACACAGACTGTTCTTGATTGCTAAACGGAAACACGTACTTAGAATAATGAGTGGATGAGTTTTCCTGTCAACATGTCAAAAATGGAGGCACGGATGTTTTGGGTTCGAAGAAAGCAGGTTGTTTCGGGGATGTATGCATTGCAAATAAATTTTAATTTTCACAAAACATTCAGGTTGTACTGTTAGTCCAAATAAGAAAGATTGTATAAAGCAATGTCCGCGATATCTGACTTTTTTTTCCATTTCTAAAAACTTCCATGCAAGAGGTATTTTTAGATACTTTTGCATCCAAAGTATCTGCTGTGCAAGATAAATATGCAGACAACTCCATCGGAAACGTGACGGGTTCTAATGCCGTTAACGTTTTCCTGGGCATAGGAATCGCTTGGTCAGTCGCTGCCACCTACCACTTCTTCAACGGAACAAAGTGAGTTCTATGGTAACGCGCTCTTAGACAACATCGCGACAAACTCCTCCATCTCGAAGACAGTTACAGACAGACAGACAGACAGACAGCTACTAGCGTGTGCACAGGAAGACAGCAGAGAGAGGAGTCCCGGAACTTAGCGCCGCAAATAGCCATTTCTAATGGCTACGAAACTGTAGCTCGGGCAGGTGTAGGGGAAATCCGAGGCCCCAAACGACAACTCTAGCGATAAAAAGGTCCCGTTTATTCTACCCTTCATCTAAAATGTTATAACTATAAAACGCTGTTTAAGAAGGGCCGGTCTAGAGAATTCGGCACCGATAATTGAAATACCACCGAGTAATCTAAGTCGCCAGCTAGTTCGTAACCGCCTATACGGCCGTCTATGTGCAACGCAAAATTGCATAATTTGCCCCAATGGTAGAGACGGTGACTGCATGAGTTCGGGTACAGTTTATCCGATCTCTTGTAATGCGTGCTGGGACGAATACGTTGGCGAAACGTGTAGACCACTCTGCGTGCGTATAAAAGAATACCTAGTCGGCAAACGTAAACCAAATCCTCCACTAAGCACGCATAGGACGCAGAGACATAACGGAGAAGATTTTGAAGTAGAGGTTGCGATCTTCGCGCAAGATTTGAGAACACAAGCGCGCAAAACTCTTGAGGCGTTCTGGATTAATTCCAGGAACCCGAAAATGAACCGCAGGGAGGAGGTCCTCATCATCACACGTGATATTGGGCAGTATATAAGCCTGTTATTCTGATGAGACGGGCACATTACGATTCCAGTGTGCAAAGACTCTGTGTTCAATGTGATTGAAATCTTGGCTTAGCGTTTTCTCTGTTTGGTTATGGAGGTGTTTGGCCGAATAGATTGCTGTCAACTTGACTTTTCAGGCTCTGGGGAAGGCGAAATCCGCCGAAACGTCAGCTTGTACATAAATAAAGAAATAAAAAACACCTCGTGTTTACTAAACAGAAGTAGAAAGAATTATTCAATCAATGCCGAAGTTAATAGAAAGTCGGACGTGGCAGTACCTGATAGTTCTTCTGGAATGAAGGAACTCCACTTTTCAAGCTAACCTAGCGCATTAGTCCAACAATATGATAATAAACTATAAGCCATAGTAAAGTCGTAAAAGTGCATTGGACGTGGAGTAAATATTTCAACGAGTTAGTTAAGCTTTTGCACTAAAGTTGACTGAAGGAAAATGTCAACGAGAACGCGGTGTCAACAAAAATCCATATTGTGGGCTCACCAGCCCGAATCTAAAATTGTTTTTCATAGTAGTTCTTTAACGAATATGTCCCAATTAAAGGTTCCTCGTGGATCCTGGGAATCTCGGATTCTCCGTGCTGGTATTCTGCCTCGAAGCGTGCGCCTGTATTACAATAATAGTGTTAAGGAGAGGAAAACTTGTCGGTGGAGAACTAGGAGGTCCCATCGGATATAGGGTATGGTCATTCTTTCTATTTGTTCTGGAAATTGCCGACTTGATAACACTGTTGTTTTTTGTTTGTTGTGGCTTATCGATTGGATGGTGTAATCCAGTTTCGTGTTCAATTTTCCTCCTGTTGATTTTTTAGCAGGTTTCCAACATTTTTAGACTTGTTATAATTACCCTTTCATGATATATCAATATGGGATATAGGAACATTTTCAGTTTTCTAACTTTCGAAATCTAGCATTTGCAGTAGCTATAAGTGAGAAGCTTTTACATTCTACTTAATTTCTGCAAACATTGTTACCATCCCACCTAAGCTTACTTTTTACGAAACAAAATTATATATGTCTACCACTTCGCTAGGACTCGTGTGGCGCAGTGGTTGGACACGTGGAATCAGTCCAGCGCCCATGGCCCACCAAGCCTTCCATCCCTCCGGTGTCGGCAAATTGGTACCAAACTTGTCTGGGAGGTTAGCAGCACTGGCTCGATACATCGGTAGCCCACAGCGAGTTAAGGCCAGATATACACTCAATCACCTCCGAACCATGAGGTGCTCAATGAGGTCGCATGCACGGCGCATCCCTCAGGGATTGATTAACGCCGAAAGCTTCATCCTTCAGCTCACCACTTCATTACTGCGTATAGTCGACAATGACGATGAACGATGATATTAAATCTATTACGTGAAGCTAATAAGCATGATTTTTGTAGAGATTGATTCTTGGGCTTTTTCAGGTCCTCACGTCTGCCTTCTTCGTTTCTTTATGGTTTTTCTACCTAACCTTATCAGCACTTGAAGCCTACTGCATTATCCATTACTAAGGATGTAGTATCAATCTAGACGATGTTTTGGCCGATCTCACCTCTTCGGCTAACCTACAAATAATGTTGTTATGTTTGTCTTATTGTACTGCATGTCAAGTGTCTTATTGTGGATGCAGTTTTCAGCGACTATTATTTGTTTTCTATTATAGGTTGAATAGGATTCTTTTACGTGTACAATGGGCAGTGCTTATAATCTTCGTTGTTCATATATTCCCGTTCATTAGTATTGTTAATTATTTCTATGGTGCCTTCAGGAATTCTCTACCGAGAGCAATGGTACGTTTCCGTACGAATTTCTACTTTCCTTCTGAACTGGGCATCAGAGCAACCAACACCGATGTTTTTCGCAGCACTTTATGTCCGGCTTTTCGCTGGTGCTTGGAATTTATTAAGAAAATAGTTCATGGAACAGACCGCCATCGAACATGTTCCCACTTCTCGTCTTTGAGCGAAATTTCACTATATGCAAGGATACAGGTACTTCCAGACAGGTCATCAGAAAATGGTAAGCACTTTATGAGTGCCTCTCTAATTTTGTGCTTACCCTGATGTCCTCTTGCATTAGGAATCCACATGTGTCGGACCATTTTTAAGACGTGCCATCTCGTTCGTAATGACCCCGATATCATTTTCCTCATTTCAGTTCTTTGAACCTCCCCGTTCATTGCTTTCGACTATCGAAAAACTTCTATCCGGCCTTTGTCGATTTGTGATCCAGATGTTTGAATAAATATTTTTATCTTCAGGAAAGGGATGTACATTTGACGTGATCCCTATTCGAATACGAAATTGAAACATTTGGTAAAATAAATAGCGATTTGAATTGCTGTTGTAAAATGTACAGAATGGATTGAACATAAATTTACTGCTTAGATTTTAGTACCTATTAATGTTCACTTTCAGGAAAGTAAGTTTAAAGTAAGTACACTTCAGCATTTTCGTCCCAAAAGTTTGTATCTAGAAAATATTGCGCAACACTTTAGGCTATCGTCGCGGAGCGTAGAATAGTGGTATAGAAAAAGGATACAGATACACGTACTTTACCACACCGATATCTGTACAAAACGGCCGATGGTTCCTAAAACCTAGGGACGCTATGGCACAGCTTCCTCTGGTTTTCAGAGAAAAGATCTTTGCAAGCCAGCACGAACCGCCTGCCTCATAAGAATTGTGGCTCACACCATACCATATCTCGGTTCCCTGGGGAACACACGCGATGGGTGAACATTGTATTACCCTGGATATATGAAGACATAAAAGGATCAAGTTATAAACTATTCCTCCACCATTATCTTCTTCTAAAATATTACAAGCTGAGGTTAGGGTGATTTTCAAGGCAACAAAGAAAATAAGTGGATTAGGTTTAAGGAAAAATGGCTGTACCCCAATTGAGGCAAGTCTTCCCGTACAAATCAACTGATAGCGTAATCACAACTTTGCATCTTCAACGAGTTCGCAGTTCGACGATATTTTTCGCGCGAATTTAAATAAAACAATGGTGGTCAGACATTCGCAAAACTCGGACCCCAGGACAGCTTCGAAACCATAATGACACTTTTCAAGTGGTTTGTATTTCACATAATGGCCAACCACGAAAAAATAATAGATAGTAGATAAAACTTAAACATTGGGATTTCAGCTTAGGTAAACTCCATCCTGACTTGTGCTCTCTAGGTAATTCCTGCTGACGAGTGATTGCTGATAGTACTGTTAGGCTAAGGAATTGATTAAGAAAAAGACAAAACAAACGCCTTAACGGTGCAGTGAGTAGTCCGTGAGCTTTTGGAAAGGATAATCACGGGTTAAATCTGGCCTAGAGTACAAGTTTAGCAAATATCGCAGCATCGTAATGGTTGTATTTCACACAGTATCATGGTATGAAAAAATAATATGTGCTAGATAAAAAGTTTAACAAATTTAAATATGTGGAGATGGGCAGAGCATGAATGTTTCTCGACTTTATTACATATTAATTATATTAAAAATGCTAATGGTGACGGAACATTAGTGATCTACTGCTATTTTGTTGAGCAGCTTAAGGATAAAGCATAAAAGGACAAGGCTCTCGGCGTTGATCAATTCCTCAGGGACGCTTTATACATTCGACTTCATTAAGCGCCTTTGGAGGTGATTGAATGGACATCTGGCCTTCACAATGACTCGCGGTGGCCTGCCGATGTATCGAGCAAGTGCTACTATCCTCCCAGACAAGTCTGGCACCAATTTGCCGACCCAGGAGGGTAGAAGGGCTTGGTGAGCCATTGGCGCGAAGATCGACCCCATGAATATTGCAGAGCGCGTCAGAGCTGGTCAATTCATCCAGAATTTCGTATTTGGACTCTGTCGTTGTCGATGATATTGTTCGCATGTCTAAAAATCACTCAGCTGAGATTGAAATTTTGCTAACGGTCTGCAACAATCGTAAGCTTAAGACCACTCTTACTAGCGTAAAGTCTGCGAGAAGGAGTACTGAAAGGAATAGTAGAATTCTACAAGGCTTTTAACATCTAAAACATAGAATATTGAAAAATAGCATACAATTACGGATGGGCCTGAGAAAGACGAAAAGAAAGAAGAAAACGGTCTTAAAGATGAAGCCACGGCGAATAAGCAATGAAGAACGCAGTAATCAAACAAAGGAACCATTGAAAATATGAGAAGAAGGAAAGGTTCCAGATAAACTGGTGCATTATTAGGAAAGCTGATACAGTAGCATACTGATATGGCCCAGTAAGTCGAGGCCACATATCCTTAGCATGCAGAGGAGCTGCAAACCACTACATAGTAACGGGTCGGCCAGAAACCATTGCTTTCTGGAACTCAATGCCTTTTCACTAGAATTATTCCACCACCTTTTAAAATCATTCTTTCACCTGTGCCTGACCGTTTCAGAGCACAAATTCTACCATAGATTTGTTTCAAATATTTTTTTTGTGACAACCTGTGTTTGGCTGCTTATACGACGATTGGTATTCAAGTTAACCTCTTGAAATAAGCAGAAAAAACTGGTGCATCTCGGCCGATTTTTGTTAAAGTTCAAACCTGGAAAGCGCTCGTACCGATGTCCAGAGAAATGAGTGGTAACGAATGTACAATGCAAAGTAAGCTTCAAAAGGTTCGTGACGGGATCAACGCCTTGAACAAGAAGAGTGTCGCAAACGAACCCGCTTTCATCCAGTAGCAAAGAATAAACGTTAAAAGAAGCAGATCATTGCACAACGGTTCGAAAGAGCTCGAAGATGACCCACAACCATCTCGGCGGAGTCGGAAAGTGAAAAGGAATGTATTTGCGTCACGAAAAAAAAAAGAGAAGTTGGGAAATTATTCGATGTCATGACGACCTCTGTCAAATGTATTCTACACGTACGGTAACTGACAACGATTTTCGGAAGACAAACACAAAAGAATCCAGATCCTTCGAGGAGTCAAATAGGTATCAGCAAAAGGATATAAGAAAGCTCTTGGGTTGATCAATACCTCAGGGATGCGCCATGCATTCGAATTCATTAAGCATCGTTTGGAGGTGATAGAACCTCCGATGTATCGAGCAAGTGCTGATATTCTCCCAGACAAGTCTGATAGTAATTTGCCGACCCCGGAGTCATGAAAGGCTTGGTGGACCAGGGGCGCGGGTATCGATCTCATGTGTGCGTTGAGGGGTGCCTCCGACCACTGCGCCACACACGCCATTGGTTATGCAATATGGAAATCAATCCTCTGTGGCCTGGCTATATTGGTTTTGGGAGCAAAAGTCGTAGAAGAAAGTATGGAAATTGAAAATGTAAAGCTAGCGGGTCCATAATGGCTGCAAATGTGTGCAAACTGTGAGTAAACATTGTTCATTGAAGAGAATGCGAGTTCTGAATGTGGTAAATAAAGCGCAAAAATGTTAGTTTTTACGTGATTGAGGTGACACAGGGTCGGTACAAAATCTTTTATTCAGTTTCGACATCTTCGTCTACTTCCGCACTGATCTGAGTCAATGGCCCACAGTTGTTCCTTCTTCCGATATGAGTCTTCATGATCATGATCACATCGAGCCGAATCCAGTTAAGAACGCACCGCTCGAAGGGTTGGCTTCACTCAGTAGTATCATAGAGGATATTGATCGATTCTCTGCACCCAGCATGATCCCCCTTTCGTTGGCCAATCCGTCCTGGACCAGTCTGTAGTTCATTTGCTCGGACGTAGCGTGGAAAAGTCTAAAAAACTGACTTTCATTTAAGCTCAATAATAATCAACAGCTTTTTTGCTAGATTACATGATTTTGCACGTAAAAATGTTTATGCTCGGAGTGGAATCCGGTACAGATGC